TTGCGTAGAATTTGCATTTTCCATACACTAAATAGTCCTTAATTTCATTAACAGTTATTACTGGTAGATATGAGAGATCCTCGGTCCAGTTGTTTAATGTTTTAGGATTTGGGAGATCCTCAAACGGAGTTTTAAGCTTGTCGATCATTCTTTTCTCTCGCTCATTTTTCTCTCTCATTTCCCTGTTCACAAGTAATTCAGTGCCGTCTTGTTCGGCTTTTGTTACACGAGTGATCAAGTCTTGTTTTCTTCCTGAAACTTTAAGTCCACGAGCTTTAAGCCACGTTTTTAATTCGTCTTTCTTGCACCCTTGCAGACTTTGTTGATCCGCCATATTGAAAATTGGCGCCATGTACTTACCAGAGCCTCGCTTTCACGCTCGCCCACACGTATCCTGGGAAAGGTCAAGACAAAAATTTCATCACAGTTTGAAAGAGCATCACAAAATTAGTAATATTCCAAAGTTTCGTTGCGAAATGTTGTAAAATGCGGATAATATAGCCCTGCGAAGTTTGCCTCGGTTTTTCAGTCATTTTGTATTACGCGCTGGAAATTGATACCTTTTTTCAGAAAGCGGTATCAATTTCCCGCGCGTAATATAAACTGAATTGAAAAACGGCAAACTTCGCAGGGCTATATTATCCGCATTTTACAACATTTCGCAACGAAACTTCGGAATATTACTAATTTTGTGATGCTCTTTCGAGCTGTGATGAAATTTTTGTCTAGACTTGTTTAGATCAAAATTTTGTTCATTAGGTAATACTGTAGGTCCATTACCTGAATGCGGCCGATTTACACTGCACAAATTTTGCCTCAAACTGTCGCATGCAACCTGCTTACAACTTGAGATGTACTGTATAAATCAAGCACATAATTCGCTCACGTTGTCGCAGCTGAGTTGTGTGCTTGATTTACACACAGTACAACTCGCGTTGTAAGCAAGTTACATGCGACAGTTTAGGCAAAAATTGTGTAGTGTAAATTGGTTTTTACATTTTGAATTTCTGGGTATATAAATAAAGTCACAATGCCCGCTCTGCAGAGGACAGTTCTCTCTGAACATGTGAATTTAAGCGAGTAGCATGATTTTCTTTGCCGATGTTTGAGTTTTTAACGCTCAGAAATGACGAAAATGCACTACATGTGCAACACTGTTAATTTCAAGGAGTTATTTTAACTCCCCTGCATGAGAGTTAAAATTTTGGAGTAAAAATTTTGGAGGTAAGTTTACTCCAAAAATGGAGTTAAAATTACTCCACTTCGATATGTATTCGAACATATACTCCACTGGGAGTCAATTCAACTCCACTTAAAGGAGTAAAATTATGTATAATTTACGCTAATAGCTACTATTTTGCCAACTTTTAGCCCCTTTAACTAAAAACCGGCATACAAATTTGCACTACAACTTAAATATCTTGGATGTACTTTTTTGCGAACTTTTTAATGGTATAGTTTATTTTTGTGAAAAGTAACTTAAAATTTCGCATTTTTAATCAACCTAGTGATTTATTAGGCCAATTTTTAAAATTCGTAAATTTTCCATTTTTGACCATTCCCCTCGACTATTTACTGACCGGTGTACGGCAGGCTCAAATTCACAACAGTGGGGGTCAATTTCATTACCACCCTACTGATTGATTGAATTGTCTTTTATGGTGACACGCTGATTCACTTAAGAATAATTATTCAAACAAGACTATAATTATACCTTTGCAAATTTACAAAGTTCGTTTTAATTTAAGCGCGAATATAGAATCCTAGAAAAACGAAGCGAGAAAACACGATAGATTTGTTTCTTCGGTGATTTTAAAATGTAGTTGAGAGTTTCGACTTGTGGGATTTCACTAGTTCAGTATGGTTGAACGAGTGGTTTTAATTTGGTCTGGTCTGTGGCTGTCTGGTTTGCGTGGCTTCACTGCTGGTGAGTAAGGTTTTATTTGTATAGAACTACACAACTTTGAATATATATAAAATCATTTTAATTTTTAATGCTTTCATGTATTGATGGGTTTTAGTAGGTATTTACTCTACATTCCAAGTGTTTTTCATACGAAAAAGTTAAATCTTTCCAAATTTAATACAAGTAGGCTACTATAAATTCTCTCGACATCTATACATGTACATAAATCATACACAAAACGTATGCTATCTTTGATTCATTTAGTTCTTTCATAAGTAACATTTAAATGGTTTTGAACTACGTATGCTTAACTGGAATGCAGCCCTTACGATAGACCCGATGGTGGATGGCCCCAGAATTATTGACACTACTTATGGGGGCACGAAAATTAAACCACATCCCTCAATTACTCATTTGCCTCCAAATACAAGACAGTAACCTATAAACAGAATTATCATTTTCTTATTCTGATAACTGCCAGTTGATTGCCTACTATCTATGATAGTGATATGATAGTGCTTATACATTTAAATGTTTATTTTCATACTTTTATTTAGCATGTTCCATAGGTAACGAATACAATGGGGTCAATGAGATATGTACCACAACAAGTTTGTGTGAGTGTAAGAGCGGATTCATTAGAAATGGAAATGGAACATGTATTGTTGGAGGTAAGAAAAAAAAGAAGCGGCATCGTTATCGATCATAAATAATCGATAGTATTGATGACATCAATCGTATTGATCATATGTGATTAATATAGCGGCATCGTTATCGATCAAACGTAATCGATGGGATATCAATAGTATTGATCATATGTGATTGATGTTATCGATTATATATTATCGATTGCGTTTATAACATCGATAGTATTGATAGTATTTTTTCGATATTATTGATCATATATTATAGATATATTGATCATATATTATTGATCGTATATTATCGATATATTATTGATCATATATCGATCATATATTATCGATTTATTAATTTTTTTGTTCAACGATCATGTAGACCAGTTCGCTATTTTTGATGAAATTACCGTTTGAAACTTTTATCTTTCTCTGCTCTTGTAAAATCTCGAGTTTCAACGTGGAACTTTTATTTTGTCATGGTTAATCAGGAAATGATTTGGGAACGTCAAAGCATTAATAATGTGCCATTATTTTACGTTGAGACGGCTTCACCATGTACAAATTCTACTTATTAATTTTTTCAACAGTACGAGCTTACGGCTGAATGATTGGTTAAGCTGAGAGTATATCTGCATAATCATTTAATAATATCCAACACTTTACTTGTCTTTTTTCAGAAGACGATGGAACCTCGTCATCTCTGTACACGGCTTTAGTAGCAGTGTTCTCAACTCTCATTGTTGTAGTCCTACTGTCAATCTGCATCTTTCTTCTCTTGCGTTGGAAGAAAGTCAAATGTCTTTTGTAAGTTTTTACAAGCTTTTCTACAAAGTGATCAGTGCACGAGATAGATCCGTTTGCACGAATTGGTGATCATTCGTCTGTAATTTTGTATAACTCGATGCTGTACATAATCTTTCTTTAATAATTTTTTTTTATTTGCACACATACAATTACATAGGGAAAAAAATACAAGAAAGATAGAAAAAATACTGTAAAATAATGTGCAAAATCACCTATAATAACCATAAAGGGCTAATCTAGATAGGTGATCTGCTAAACAACAACGTCTATAAGTTAAGTGCACGCATAATAAGTAAGGTAGAGGAAAAAATATTGTTAAAGTCGCCGTAAAATTATCATTTTAATATGAAGCAATCAAAAATAATTTGAGTCGCTTTTTGAACACTTGTTTATCTAGCATTTTCAGGGACTCCTCAATAGAATTCCATAAATGTGGACCACAGTATCTAATATTAAAGATACCATAGTTAGTTCGAATCTTAGGTAGAACATACGATAATTCAGATGATAGCCTAGTATTATAGTTATGAACATTCACCACTTTTTTGAAAAAAATCAGAAGGGGAAGAGTACGATGATGAAATTGATAAATAAATAAGACTGTCAAATAATGAACTATATCAGGGAATTTTAATAAGTTTAATTCTTAAAAAGAGGAGAAGAGCGAGTTCTAGGAGGTGAGAAAGTTATAATACGAATTGCCTTTTTTTGTAATAAAGTCAACGTTAAAATGTTAGATTTGTAAGTATTACCCCATACAATAGCACCATATATTAAGAATGGGTAAATTATAGAGTAATAAGTCTGAATTAATAATTCAATATGAACAAAGCTACGAAGCCTTAATAATATTCCACGGGATATCTTTTTACAAAGTTCCTTAATATGCTCCTTCCCACTAAGATTAGAATCAATAATTACTCCTAAATATTTTAAACTACTTTTTTGAGTGAAAACTTCATTATTGATAGAAAGACAAACATTTTGATTAAGTTTCTTTTGAAAAGGGTGAAAAATAACAAAGTGCGATTTATCAACATTTAACGATAATTTGTTGGCACATAACCATTTATGGATATTAGTTAATTGTTGATTCAAATGCAATTCAAGAGACGATAATTTATTGTCAGAGTAGAAAAGATCTTTACATCTATATACGGCATAAGACGAGCTATTACTTTCTCAGGGGTCCCTATGATGTCCTAATTCTAAAACAGGAGAAGCGGTGTTTCACAGTATATTACACTTTGTTGCATATTATCCGACACTAACGCAGCTAGGATTTATTTTCTCAGTTAAGCAATCTTGTATCACGAAATTTGAAGGGCCTTCATTTCATTGGGGACCCCTTTTGAGCTGAAGCCCCGGGACATAGTGCCCCCACCCCATCTCGGCGGGCCTGCCAAAATGGACAACGTAGTATCAGAATATGTAAATGAGCCCTTTCGTAACAAATAGCATAACAATAGTGACATCCAGTCACAATCCAGTGATCAGAATGTTCCATTGTCTTTTCATTGTTTTGAAAATCTCACTGTCCTCCATGCCATCCAGTCGCGATCCAGTGATCGGAATGTTCCATCATCTTTTCATTGTTTTGCAAGTCCCACAGTTCTCCGTGCCATCCAGTCATTATCCAGTGATCAGAATGTTCCATCATCTTTTCATTGTTTTGAAGTCCCACTGTTCTCCATGCCACCCAGTCATGATCCAGTGATCAGAATGTTCCATCATCTTTTCATTGTTTTGAAATCCCACTGTTCTCCATGTCATCCAATCATGATCCAGTGATCGTATCTTTTCAAACTTCACTCCGTTTCATCCATTTACTCAAGGTTTTTTTACTTGTTTGTCACCGCCCTACAGAACTATCCATCTTCGCATAAACTAAGTCCACTATATCGTATGTTTTCGTATTTGCAGCTGTATCCAGCCTCGTGAGGACGGAAACGAACGTCTTCAAATGACGAATTTGAAACATAAACCCAGCATAAGACAAATTTTAGGAGAGGTAATTTTGTTGAATTGTGAAGCATTTGTTGTAATCTTTGATAAACCGCCGTGGTTGGTGCACTGATCTGACTGAAACAATATGAAAACATTCAACATTTCCAAATCCTCATCCCCCTGACGAGGGGTATTCGTAGGAAGTCAAGTGCTTTTAATATTTTCCAGGTAGTTCAGACACAAACCACGACAGCTTATTGTAGAATACTACCTACACTGGACCACCACGTTGGAGATGTCTTTTTCATATAGTTCAGACGCAAACCACGATAGCTTATTGTAGAATACTACCTACACTGGACCACCACGTTTGAGATACCTTTTTCAGGTAGTCCAGACGCAAACCACGGCGGCTTATTGTAGAATATTACCCACACTGGACCACCACATTTGAGGTTTTTTTTTCAGGTGGTTCAGACACAAACCACGACAGCTTATTGTAGAATATTACCTACATTGGTCGTCAATGGACCATCACATTTCTAGATATTTTTTCAGGTAGTTCAGACACAAACCACGACAGATTATTGTAGAATACTACCTGCATTGGATCCCCACATTTGAGATATCTTTTTCAGGTAGAATACTGGCATAGTATACTGCCAGTCTTTTCCTGGATGTTACAGTCCAGTTTGTTCCTGGATGTTTAGAGAATAATTAATTCATTGTTTTTTATTTTATTTTTGTAGTACAATCAACTAGACAAAGGTTTGTACTGTTTAAAACTGATAGAGCTATCGAGTATATTAAATAAAGTTAGTGTACTCTTTTGTCTTTCGTCTTTTGACTGGGAATAACAACCAGTTAAGAACCACTCCAGCCTCATTTATTTGGAAGTACCTGTTATATAAGAACCACTTCAGCCTGAAGTCAAAATTCACTGGTTCTTTTATGCGGGGCTTTACTGTAGAGCTATCCTGTATCATTAACGTTAGTTTGGTTAATAATTTTCCTCCTAAGGGTACCACTGGTCCATTATGGACAGTGAAAATAGCGTTACTTATTTGTTCGTATTTTCCCACAGCTGGTGGTTCTTGGACGCAAGAAGATTTTGAAAGACTAATTCAAAGTTTGCGAGAAGATGCTCATGTGTTTCTACAGATGATTAATGAAGTTAAACGAAAATTGAATATGTTAGATGACAAAAATACCACACGGGGAATGCAATACAAGTAAGTTGTTGGTGGTGGTGATGATGACGATGATGATAATGATAATGATGGTGGTGGTGATGATAGTGGTGGTGATGATGATGATGGTGGTGGTGATGATGGTGGTGATGATGATAGTGGTGATGGTGATGATGGTGGTGATGATGGTGGTGATGATGGTGGTGATGATGATGATGATAATGATGCTAATGATGACCGAAGTAATAAAAACTGTTCATTTGCTTTGCAAATTTAAGAAATATTATATGAACATATAAAAGCGCGTTTTTTGTTGGGTTTTTTTCAAACACCACAACTCTGCACTGTATATCGTATTACTCGACAAGATGCCACCGAAGCCACGGAAAGAACTTGATTCTAAGCGACTACAAAACTCGCTTCGAGCGAATATTTTGAGCTTGGTAAGTTTGTACCTTTTTACTGTTTGTGTACAGAAATGTTTCGCAACACGAATATATTATAAATTATACTCTCAAATAAAACATAAACATTCGCTATTTTATGTCTGTAACCATCGAGCAGTCGCGTGTCGCGCAACGTGGAGAGTCCACAAAGATGATGTTGAACTTGCGATGCTGCAGATCACTTCTAAAAGGATGCTGCTAAA